CTGAAACGTCATTGAAAATGACAAGTGCTCAACTGGATCTTGGGAAAACATTACGTAGAGAAAACCACCTGGTTCAGAAATGGCATGAAACATAAGGTACAAATATCTCTAGAGTTTAAAGGAAACTTTAAAAATCAATGGCAGGGTAGAGAAAATGGTGAGAATTCCAAAAAGTATTCCTAGCGTAATCATTTAAAAATCACAATTTACCCCAAACTGACCCAGACTTCCTTTGTTTTGTCATGGTTCTTCTTGTATTATCTAAAAGGAGTTGTAAAGAAACACACTTGTGAGACCAAAAATATAGTTTATTAATTTTGTTTTTGGAGGAAAGTTCATAAGTTACCTCCTGTAATCAGGTAGATGAACTTTTTAAACAATATATGTTTTTATTGACTTTTAGACAGAGAGGAAGGGAGAGAAAGAGACCAATAGAAACATCCATCGCTGGGCTACCTCCTGGACGCCCCTACTGGGGATCAAGCCCACTACCTGGGCATGTGCCCTGATCAAGAATTGAACTAGTGACCTCCTGGTGCGTGAGATGATGCTCAATACACTGAGCCATGACAGCTGGGCTGTGATGAGGTCTATTTTTTGTTTAATTAATTGAATTTATTGGGGTAACATTGGTTAATACGATTATGTAGGTTTCATGTGTACAGTTCTGTAATACATCATCTGTATATTGTATGTTCACCACCCCAAGTCTTGTCTACTGGCATCTCCATTTATTCTCTCCTTACCTTCTTCCACCTCCCCCAGCCCCCCTCTTCTTTCTCTCTGGTAATCACCATACTGTTGTGTGTGTCTACTAGGTTTTTATTTTTATTTTTTGTTTAATCCTTTCATCTTTTTCCCAGCATCCCCACCCCCCTCCCCTCTGACAGCTGCCAGTCTGTTCTCTGTATCTATGAGTCTGTTTCTGTTTTGTTTGTTAGTTTATTTTGTTCATTAAAGTCCATATATAAGTGAGATCATATGGTACTTGTCTTTCTCTGACTGGCTGATTTTATTTGTAACAGCATGGATGAACCTGGAGAATATTATGTGCTAAGTTTCATTAATTTTAAAATCAAAGAATAGACTACAAAGTATTCCTTCTCTTTTGTAGTGTTTGTAAACTCCACAAAATGGTAATAACCTAGTAGGCCTTGTCCTTAAGATCAAAAGCAGAGATATGTCACTGTGTCATTTAGTTCTGTATGCTTTAGGTCAAATTTTGTAACAAATTTAGTCTGTCATCTCTCAAAATCCTTGCTTCTATATATTATCTCATTGTTTGAACATTTTTTAAAAATAATACTCTGTTTACTGGTAATTCATAAACCCTCAGTGCTCTAAAGGAGAATCATTTTCTCTGTAGTATCGTACTGATCTGTGCACAATTTAAAACAAGCATTTTAATTTTCTTAGTTTTCTTGGTGAAATGTTACATGCAAATGATGTATAGTTTTCTTATAATTATCCATGCAATTGCATTTGACTTGCCCTCAATTTTTAATTTATTACTAAATAAATGCACACTGTAGGAAAAATAAAATTATAAAAGGTAAAAGTCATCTGTAACCACCCACAGATAATGTCAGCAAATGTTATTTAGTTTATATCCTTTCAGATCTTTTATTATTGTTATTCTAAGTAAATGCATATCATGTCTCCAAATTCTTGAAGTTGTAGATCTATATCCATATCTGTAGATGAATCTGCCTGAATCTGGAAGACGGGATTACACTCTACATATCAACTTAACTCGGTTTTTAAAATCAAACTGCATTACAGTTATCTCTCCACACTTATTTTTACATAAGTTTGTGTTATATTTCTTCGAACCATTCCCTATGGGGCATTTAACTTGTATCCTTTGCTTCACTATTATAAAAAAATCTTATATGTCAACAAACTAGATACATTTAGACAAAATGGATAGATTTCTAGAAACACACACCTTTCCAACTCCTTGGGCTGGGATAACTACCCCTTTTCCTCCCCCACAACTCTGTTCATACCTAAACCTTGCTCCTATCACTTTGAACTGAAATAATGAATTTACTTACATTTATTTTCCAGAAAATGCAAATTAATTGACTTTTATACTTTCTGTGTCATCCACACAGTAGGAGCTTAATAGACAGTTGGTAAGCTGTTAACCAAAACTTCACATGTAATGATATTAATATTCAAAGAAGTCATTCTTGAGAAAATTTAGAGGGGACCCAAAGGGAACAATTAATAAACAGGGTAATGTTTATGTAAAGACTTCAGAATTGGCTGTTATTAGAGGACTTGCAATACAGCACTTTCAAATATAAAATGAAACTCAATTTATGTAAGGTGCGTATAGCAATCATTAGAACATTATCAACTATGGGTCTTAGCCTGAAAAAATTTTTAAGTGAGGGAATTGACCAATTCAAGTTCTCCCACCAGCAATCATTTCTAAATCAAATTTATTTTATATAACCAAGAGTTAGAGATGAGGCATAGGCTTGAAGTCAGACATCGAGTTCAATTACTGGTGCTGCCGTTAACTGAAAAGTAGCATAGAATGTATACTTTCTATGTGCCGGGCACTATTTTAAGCATTTGAAATGGATTCTTTTATTGAATCTCCTAGGCTTTGGGTCATATAGTTTCCCATATCTAATGTCTCATCCTTGATATGCTAGCCCTGTGTTCTTGTATAATTACTTCTATCCCATTAATCCTGATTTTTCTCCTCTCTAACATGGGAGGTAATGACTCATCAGGTTGTTGTGAAGACCAAGTACCTAACAAAGTGTCTGTCCCATGGTAAGCCCTCAGAATAGGCTATCTACTACTTCATTAGATTAGCCCCTGGGGAATAAATAGGTCAAGTACTTCAAGCAACATTGAATAGTAAGTCCTTGACTCCACTTTACTTCTGTGAAACTCAGTTTCTTCATTTCTAAAAGGAAAACAACCTAACTCAATATCTGAATTATTATTGATGCAAAGTAATCTGAGGACAAGTGATAATGTATCAACAATGACCAACATAAAGCCTGGCACATAATCTCCATGCAAAATCTGGAAGTTACAGGATGGGGGAGGGAGAAGGAAGAGGAAGAAAGAGGTAAACGTCCAACAAAGGGCTCAGTCTCCAGTTCAGGTGATACTGTTCCCATGCAATAAATTATTTATGACCACTAATAGCAGATTCTGTGATCATACATGTATGGATCCAGGATGTGATGTAGAGGCTACAGCCTGTGAAGTGGAGCAAGGAGCAATTTATAATCAAAATTCATTTCTGGTTAATTTTTATCATCGGCAGCTACAACTACAGAGGTGGCCTTTATCAAACTCTTACTTCCTAGGAGCCGTCAGATATCATTAGGATATAACTATCACTCTGGTACCCCCAAAGTGTGGGGGAGACATGTTCCAATTGGACAAATTGGAGGAATAGATGAAAACTCACTTTCTGACTTCCCGGCTTTGGATGAGAGAAATGAGCTCATTAAAGTCTCTTCCCCAGGTCAATTAGCCATGCAATTAATCTCATGCCCATTTAAAAAAAAAATTTAAAAAATAAAAAACTCTATCCCATTGCAAAACTTGGGCCAAATGCAAAATGTTGCTACAACACAGTGTCCAAAGCCTAATTTTCACTTCGTTTCGAAGTATTATTATTGATGGCTTTGCTCCCCCTGTGACGGTGTATTTATCATGCAAGTTACACTTTCTTGCATGAAAGTTGGTGAAAGTGAGGACATGGAAGCTGTGGTCTTGTCACACTGATTACAGATGCAGTTTGTCTTCTCCGAAGCCACTGCCGGCTGTCTGAGTTTGGGATGGTGCCTACCTGAGCTGCTGGAGCAAATCCAGCAAAAGCTTCCCTTCGATATTTATAGGAAGACAAGATGTTTTTGCTTTATGCTTGTGCACTAAAAAAAAATACAGTCTCATTGAAGACTTTATCCTTATGGTGAACCTAAAAGCCATGATCAAAAAGACATGGTGACTAGGATTGCAACAACTACTATCTCAATGCTCCAAAGGCAAAATCCCGACTTCTTCAAAGTGTAGAATCAAAGATTCTACTGACGTAGCCCTGGCCAGTTTGGCTCAGTGGTTAGAGCATCTCCCTGCAGTCCAGAGAGACCCGGGTTCAGTTCCCGCTAAGGGCACGTACCTCGGTTGCAGTTTGTCCCCGGCCCTGGTTGGTCGAGCGGGTGGCAACCACTCAATGTGTCCCTTTCATGTCGATGTTTTTCTCTCTCTCTCTCTCTCCCTCCCACTCTATCTGAACAAGAAATGGAAAAAGGTCCTCAGGTAAGGATTTTAAAGAAACAAAACAAAAACAAAGATTCGCCCGACTTAATGGAGTGGTTTGGGTACTACCAGGCAGTTGTTGATAAAGGCTGGTCTTCCTCTTGTGGACAATAAAAACCTGCAGAAATGTTGGTAACATTTTCTCTCCTTTTAGAGAAAACAAGCATACCTATTATTTTCAATGCTCAAATTAAAATTAAAGTCATTATGATAATCCCAGGCTGTCAAGAGTTTGTAGAAAGGACCAGTGTGGACATTAGTCCTTGGAGAACATCTATTTATTCTGTGTCCTCCCCTTAGGGATCCATGGACAGTGGTCGATATGTCTGCCTGTTTAGAGTTTTACTTGTGAGGATGGGCAGGCAAGTTCTAAGCTCTTGACCTGTGGGATCAGATCCTGGAGGTCAAGTTTTTAATGTTCCAACCAAAAGATGTGAAGGCTACGGAACAACCACAATTTTTCGCATTGATCGTGAAGATCACTTTGCATGATGTGCATTCGCATGATCGCTTTCCCACTACCATGCCTGTAATACGCCAATTTCTGATATATAAATCACTTTTCCAAATACAAGAGTTGCTGGCTTCTAACGCTTCGATATTAGCTTAGTCCATCTAGTAAAAGTGCCTGATACATAAATGAAAAGAATAATCCCAGCTGCAGGTGTGCTTATTGTTCTGCTATTCCTGTGTTGTCCTAGTGCGACCGCTGCTTGCCTCTTTATAATGACAAGCCTTTCCGCCAAGGAGATCCCGTGCACGCTTTCAACTGTAAACCTTGCCAATGCCACAGCCACTCCCGGAGCTGCCACTACGACAGCTCGGTGGACCCCTTTCCATCCGAGCACCAGAGAGGGGGCGGAGGCGTTTGTGATGCTTGTGAGCACAACACTACAGGTAACGCGCAAACAACAACCTACACAAGGCTGAGTTGGCCTTCGAGGCTCATGTGTTTTGGGGTATGATGCATGTGATGCATGTTATTTCATTTTCTTTCTTTCTTTCTTTCTTTCTTTCTTTCTTTCTTTCTTTCTTTCTTTCTTTCTTTCTTTCTTTCTTTCTTTCTCCCTCCCTCCCTCCCTCCCTCCCTCCCTCCTCCACCCCTCCCTTCCTCCCTCCCTCCCTCCTTCCCTCCTTCCTCCCTCTCTCCTTCCTTCCTTCCTTCCTTCCTTCCTTCCTTCCTTCCTTCCTTCCTCCCTTCCTCCCTTCCTCCCTTCCTCCCTTCCTCCCTTCCTCCGTTCCTCCCTCCCTTCCTTCCTTCCTCCCTCCCTCCCTCCCTCCCTTCCTTCTTTCCTCCCTTCCTCCCTCCGTCCCCCTTCCTCCCTTCCTTTCTTCCTTCTTTCCTTCCTTCCTTCCTTCCTTCCTTCCTTCCTTCCTTCCTTCCTTCCTTCTATCCTTCCTCCCTCCCTCCCTCCCTCCCTCCCTCCCTTTCTTCCTCCCTCCCTCACTCCCTCCCTCCCTCTCTCTCTCTCTCTCTCACTCTCTCTCTCTTTCTTTCTTTGTATTGTTGAAAGTGTTACCAATGTCCTCCTTATTTCCCCCACTGACCCCCTTCTCTCCACTCCCACCCCCTCCTGCTTTCCCCAACCTAATGTCTGTGTCCATTGGTTGAGCACACATGCATATACATTGTTTGGGTTATCTCCTCCCAATTCATGTGATTTTAAATTATGGTATTGCTATCTTATTTAAGAAAGTGCTTTCCTACTGTTAGGTTTGAAAACCAAAGCTGGTTTATCACATCTTCAGAATCCCAAATAAGTAGGTCGTTTTTAGAAATGGCAATCTAGGCCCAGCTGGTGTGGTTTTGTTTTTGAGCATTGACCCTGCACTAAGAGGTCGCCAGTTTGATTCCCGGTCAGGGCACATGCCCAGGTTGTGGGCCGAATCCCGAGTGGGGAGCATGCAGAAGGTGGCCCATCGATGTTCTCTCTCATCAATGTTTCTCTCTCTCCCTCTCCCTTCCTCTCTCTAAAATCAATAAAGAAAAAAAAGTTAAAAAAAAAAAAGAAAGAAATGGTAGTCTAGTTGACTATAGTCTAGTTGACTATATCTTTGCAGTAAAGTGTTGCATTTTTCCCCCCACATCTTTTGATTAGAGTATAAATATACTTTGGAGAACTCAGGAATTATTAGTTTGAATGACAAGTTTTCTTGTGTGACCTGGATTTTCCACTGTGTCTGAAGTCTCTTGTGGAGATGTTTACATTCATTTCGATTTGGCATGGACCCTGGTAACCTTGGAAGGCTCTTTGTAAATGCTAATTAAATACAGAGATGATGATCAAAATCCTGTTCTAAAGCCAGTCAGCATTTTGAAGGGCTGGTATGTGAAAAGCAGAAGTAGGCAATCTCTGACTTCGGAAAATGCAGCAGCCCAAGCCCGACGGGGTTGAGAGTAAGCTACTCTGAAGCCGTAATGAATGTATTGGATGATTACCGATGACCTAAAATGTCACCCAGGAACGTGGCTAGGTGCTGGGGAATATAAAGATGAACAAGACAATGACAATTCCTGTCTCCATGAGTATCATCGCACAGTGAGAAAGGCTCACCCTCGAAAGAACAGTTACAAAGTGGTCCGATGGGGGTCATGGCCCGGCGGGTGCAGCAGGAGTTACCCAGGTGAAGGTGCAAGAGGAAGAGGAGTTGGGGGAGGGGTGGCAGGTTTACAGTAAGAGGAAACCATTATGTAACGGCCTCGAGGAGAACACGGAAACCCTTGAACGCGATGGAAAAGCAAAGGGCAGATTGTGAGACAATGTGGGGAAGGAGGCAGGGCCGGATTTTAGAGGGCTCTAGAAACCGTCGTGAGGACTTTGGCTTCTATCCTGAGGTTAATGCCACTTACGGGATTAGTAAAGGAAAGGGACATAATAGGTTTTGTGTTCTTAAAAGGCCTATCTGATCACCAAGGGGGGAAGGATTGGGCGGAGTCGGATGGGGCCTGGGAAGACCGGTGGGTGGGACACTGCAGCTGTCCCCGTGGGAGTAATGCTCGGGGAGATGCAAGGGGTTTGGATGGAGAGAAGTGCAGGCGAGAAAGTGGCAGCATTTTCCACGTGAGGTAAAAGGAAGGAAGAGGTGTCCAGATTCTTGCCCGCCGTTTCATTCCGAGCCACAGGGTCAGCGTTGATGTCGGCCATGGAGGCAGGGACGCAGGTAGGTCAAGCGTAGGGAGAAGAGCTCAGGTTCTGTTCTGGACAAGTCACCGTGTGTTTGCAAGAGAAACTCCACTGTGGGCAGCCAGACACACAGCTCTCAAGCTCTTTCTTAAGGGGGGCCTTCCGTGATGCTTCAGGAAGATCAGTGTCATCGTGTACGCTGGGGTGCTTCATGTTCATCACAGCAGGCCAGGGTGCGCTTCTCCCTGCGATTGCGTAATTCAGATCCCTCTCACCCACCTGACGAAAGCAAAGCTCTGTGAGAAGGGTGTGATGTGTCTTCTTCCCGTGACCAAAGTCCTCACCACTTAGCGCAGTGTTTGGGAACGTGGCAATAACCCAATAAATACCCATTGAATGGCAAATAAAGGAGATTTTTCTAGACTGGAGGTGGAAATTTGAGAGTCGTCAGCATATGTGAATGGAAATACTCTAGAAATACAATGAATCCATTTAGTTTTCGGTTAGCCCATAACCAATATCCATCAGGATGTAAATTTTCACTTAAGGAAAAACTCCTGACTAGGGACTTGTGAGCTATAGGAATTACCCGATATTTCTACAATGTCAGACTGTTCTAATATGTAATGCGAAATGCATCTGCTATGTCTAAATATAATACATTTCTCTTGATATTTGCAATGAAAAACAATAGCCATAAGCACTAACCGAAGCATTTGCTTTTAATTATGTTAACCGTAGAGTGATGATTTATACGAAATCGTCTCTTATTTCACAGGATGTAGTTCCGGAAAATATTTCTAATACAATCTACTGCGTTGCTCCTAACTGGATAACTGTCCTCTACCATGCAGACAGAAATTTCTCAGATTGGCTTTAGGTTAAATGCCTGGCCTTAGGCAGAAAGAAAAGTTCTAAGATCAGAAAGAAAGTCTTTCAAAGTGTGCGGGCCCCAGCGAGGGCCAGCTCTTACGAAGTGTGCACAATCTAGCAGATGGGGTTACTGAAGTAAGGCGCGGTTTGCAAGAGGTCCCTTGTTTCATATGCTCTGGGTCACTACATTGGCAGGCAGAGATGAGAGGTGCCTTAGAATGGACGTCCCGAAAATTATAGAATTCCCTCCAAGGAATACAGTCTTTGAATTTTGAATTATGCAGCTGATCTTAATGAACTGGAAGTCCTGATGCATAACCTCTCCCTGACGCAGGAAGGAACTGTGAACAGTGTAAGGATTACTTTTTCCGAGCCGTCGGGGCAGACCCTTCGGCCATAGACGTGTGCCAGCCCTGTGACTGCCATCACGTTGGCACGAGAAACGGCAGCCGCCTGTGTGACCAGGTGAGTCCTCAGTATTGAAGGTAAAGAACTGTTGTATTTTCAAAGGCTAATTTGGTCCGGGGCAGGTAGCTTAGTAGGGAGAGCATTGTCCCAATACGCCAAGGTTGTGGGTTCGATCCCTGGTCAGGGCACATACAAGAATCAACCAACGATGCATAAATAGGTGGAACAACAAATCAATATTTCTGTCGCTCTCTTGCCCGTTCTCTTGCTCTAAAAATCAATCAATCAATAAAAAGCTAATGTGGGACGTGTTCTACTTGTGGAATTGAGGGCCATGATTCTCAGCATGTTCTCTGTGTTTGCATTTCAGAGAGATGGTTGCTTTAGGAGGGGTTTCTGTGCAACTTTTATTTTATTTTTTTATCCTCACCCGAGGACATTTTTTGCATTTATCTTCAGATAGAGCGGGAGGGAGAGTGGAAGGGAGGGAGAGAAAGAAACATCAATGTAAGAGAGACACATCAAGTGGCTGCCATCCACACGACCCCAACTGGGGCTGGGGACAAATTGCAACCGAGGTACGTGCACTCAGCGGGAACTGAACCGGGGCCTCTCTGGTTTGCAAGCCGACGCTATAACCGCTGAGCAACACCGGCGGCCAGGGCCTGTGCAACTTTTAATATGGACCTGAACTGTCAGGTGACTTGGGTGGCCCTCTGCAGAGAATAAAGGCTCATTTTATTTTTACTTTTACAAATGTCGAAAAAAAAAATTGGAAGATGGGGGTTCAAAGTCAAATGGAAAGTAAATTGAGTCTGTGTCTTGGAATTGTTGAGAAGTAATGTTAATAAGTGATATTGATGACACAAAAGCCAGTTTCCTCCCAAATTCCACAGAGCACAGTATAACCAAGGTCATGTGCACACAGGGCCAAGTGGTGGTTCTGGTTGTTGTGCTTCTAATTTTCTTTTCCCAACCTTCTCTCTATCTTGACAGTACAATGGATTCTTTTTATTACTTTGTTTTTGTTACAGATGTTTCTCTTTTACCTCCGCAGATACCCTCCTCCCTACCTGCCCCCCCCCCCCGCCGTGCCAAGCATTGTTGTCTATGTCCATTGGTTACATGTACACGCATATAAGTTCTTTGGTTTTACCTAATGGATTTTCACAATTTTATGCACTTTTCCTACAACATCACCAACATTAATTTCTGAGCTACATAAGCACGGATTCTAACTAACCTGGGTCAATAGATCCTACCTCAACCCAAAGAATTAGAGAAATTATTTGCAAAGCATATATATCCAATGAGACTAGACTCTGGTTTATAGAAAGAGTCTTTACAACTCAGTAATAAAAAGACAGTCTAATTAAACATGGCTAAAGGATCTAAATAGATAATTCTCCAAGGAAGATACACAAATGGTAAATAAGCGCTTGGAAAGATATTGGACGTCATTAGCCTTCAGAGAAATATAGATTAAAACCTCAGTGAGATACCACCCCATACTCACAGGCTGCTGGTGGGCATGTAGTGTGTTACAGGCAGAGCCGTCTAGTGCTCTTCAACATATTAAATACAGAGTTATCACCCGGCCAGTGTGGTTCAGTGGTTGAGCATCAACCCCTGCACCAAGAGGACACTGGTTCGATTCCTGGTCAGGGCACATGCCCAAGTTGTGGGCCTGATCCCCAGTGGAGGGCATGCAGGAGACAACCAATCGATGTTCTCTGTTATCGATGTGTCTATCTCTCTCTCCCTCTCTCTTCCTCTCTCTCTAAAATCAATAAAGAAAGAAATTATAATAAGTAAGTAAGTAAATAAATAAATAAATATAGAGTTACCCTATAACCCAGCCCTTGCACTTCTAGGTATATATGCAAATAAAATGAAAACATACATAGTCACACAATTTTATCATGAACTTTCACAGCTACTTTAATCCTAATAAATCTAAGTGTAGAATAACCCAGTGTCAGTCAACTGCAGAGTGGATAAATACAAGGCAGCATATCCGCTCAGTGGGATATCATTCCACAGTAAGAGGAAAGGGCATAATAACAGAGTTTCATGTGTGCTTTGGTCTCAAGAGGGCGAGTACGGGACGGGAAGAGACAGCTTTTCCAAGAGATGCCTCTGTATGTCCATACAGTCCATGAGCAGAATTCGAGTTCAAAAATACATAAAACAAAAGACATACTTGAAAATGTTAACTTCTTTCCCTTTAGAAACATTTTTTTACCCTTTTCTCTTTCTAATTGCTTCTGCGATACTTTTTATAGCGGGGGGAATAGAACTTTCACACAGACCACGTGTAGCTGGAGAGCGCCGTGTGCGGGGGTTGGGACGCAGGTGTGGGGACGGCTCCGTGAATGCAGCACCTCTCGCTGTTTCTCTCTCAATCACCTTTTACCGTCATTTTTATCATTTTTCTCATGCTCCAAGTGCAGACACAAAGATTCTTATTGCAGGTGAAAATATAGTGTCAAGTGCACCTCGCCTACATAATGTGCCCAAAGGTTTCTAAAAATGTTTATGGTTGTTTTCAACGAGATAGCAGGACGCACGCTAAAAAAAAAAAAAAAAGCTCCCAACCGCGTCAGACTTGCACACTGGAGTATGGAATTCAAGGGCATTTTTAAAACTCATTCAATCACAGCCCTTAATAATATTAGGGAGCATACAAGAATATTAGGCAGTTGTTCAAGTCTCATTTTGTTCTAATGACTTAGGAACGGAGCCAGCCCCAAATGGCCTGGGCGGCTGTGCTGTGGGCTCCGTGTCTGAAAAGGAGCTTCCCCTTGGCACTTGTCACCGGACACTCAATCCAGTCTCATAAGATGTGACATGTTTGCCTTGTTCTCCCTTTAGAAATGTTTTCATTGTTCTCCCCGTGAATGCCAAGATCTTGAGGCTGGCATGAAGTAATGATCTGAGTCACTACATCCTAAAAATATCGATGCCAAAGTCAAGATGCATAGAACATCTGAAGCAGAACAATAATGTTCACATTACCAGGGGAGGAGGAAATGCAGAAGAGTCATTATTCTGATCAGGAGTCCTTCATATAGAGCTCTCCGTCCCTGGGGCCACCAGGGGTGAGTTTTAGGGTATCTATACATACCTTTAATTTCTTTTTTATCGTTGACACTATTACAGATGTCTCCCATCTCCCTCCACCCAACTCCCGGCCCCCCAGGTCCTTACCACATTATTGTCTGTGACCACGGGCTATGCATATATGCATATAGGCTCGTTGGTTAATCTACATTTTATGTAGGAGTATTTCTGTGTATTTATTTGTTTGTTTATGTATCTTTGAGGGGAGGGCTCTTAGTACCTTCTTCAGACACTAAAGGTATACATGAATGGAAAAAAGATGAAAATTCACAATACTGGGAAATAAAGTCTTTTTATCTTAAGAGCTGTGGCTGTTGGTAGAGATACGTCCAGTGTGAGCAGCCCAGGACGTCACGGCATTTCGTTTTCGTGTCCTCTGAACTCAGTGCGTGAGTGATTTCACCTCTGTCCTCAGCCTTTTCCTAGTCAGGTGTGACTTCCATCCGGAAGTACCAGACAGAGCCCAGGCCTGGATGGTGCATTATAAAAACATCCCAAGGTATCTGGGGGAGGGTCTTTGAACTCCTAGTTAAAGGCCATAGAGGTAGAGGTCCCGGTCAGCTCTGACCCAAGGTGGAAGGACACTGTCGGCTCAGCCTGTCCCTTCCCTGACCTTGCCCTTCGTAGGCTAGCTGGCATCCCTGGTGCACCTGCTCCGGCCACCTGCACAGGTGCTGCTTGCTGGTGAGCTGAGGAGACAGTAGAAAGTCCCTGGCACGTGGCCTGACTCAGGTGGAAGGCATTCAAGAAATGTCATTCGGGTGCTTTTCTGTGTGGGGTTGTTTCCATCCCTCCTGCCTTCTTTCTCACCTCTCTGCTGGGTTCCTAGATCTGAGGAAACCATGAGGGGTCAGCCCCAAGAGTCAAGAAGACACTCAGCCGGAGCTATGCTTCTCCAACTTTACTGCGCATGTGAATCTCTCTCTCTCTCTCTCTCTCTCTCTCTCTCTCTCTCTCTCTTTTTCAGGGCTTGGTGATGTTCTTTATTGAGATTTTATAATCAGACATGGGACTAATGGCTTACATACTGCATGCTTTATTTGGATGGATATAGGCAAATGTGTGAAAAATATCATTTTGAATAATAATGCTTATTATATACCTGACAGTCCAGATGTTTACCCTGCAGTGCTTCATTTAATCCATCAAACAGTCCTACTCGGAAGGTATCATAACCATCCCCATTTATGGGTGGGGGAGTAGAGGTACCAAGACAATAAATAACTTTGCGCTATGTCAGATATCTCTCTGAGAGTAGACTCTGATTCTGGGAGGCTGGAGCAAGGACTGCAATTCTCTGTTTGTGAAAGTTTCCATCTGATGCCCTTGCGGCTGGTCTGTGGACCACACGGATGTGGCCAGCACACTGTCTGCCAAAGATGCGTGGGTAAAAGCAGCCGATTGCATGTGTGTGGGGAGCGTGGTGGTGGTGAGCGTGTCCCTGTCCACACATGTGTGTACACTTGGTCAAAGTGGGTTCACTCTGTTCTGTTCTCCGAGACCCATCTTAATAGCAAATGGCTTTTTAAGTTTTGCACACCACTGGGCCTCTGTTAAATCACAGTGGAATTGTACACTCAGCTTAAATTAGGATCTAACCTGAGCCCCTTTCTTAAAAAAAATAACTGGAAGAAAAAAAACAATAAGGGGATCTGGAAGTTGGCTGAAAACTGAAAATATAGTTGTAATTATATAAAAGGAAGAAGAACGGCTGCAGCAGTGCTCGGTGAGACATCGTCAGACTGCTGCAGCGGAGCCAGAATGGAGGGAAATGATTAGGGGGCATTAAAAAATAGATTCATAAGGCAGGAGACCAGGGCTTGACGTGAATTAGGAGAAACGGAAAGTCATCGCTGAAGGAAGTATTCCCAGGTCTGGCCCAGGGAAGACGGACTCATCAAGAATAAGGACCCTACTCATGAAAACTGATTGTT